ATCATATTACAAAGGGCTAATTATCCTAATAGATAATTAGCGCTAATTATCTAAACTATCTAAATAATTAGATAATAGAGAAAGAGCTCTGCATATCTATCTTTAAAAGAGAAAAAAGACCAACAAACAAATAAGAAAGTGGTAAAGGAAATGAACAGAATTCAGAAAAGAAAATACATATATTTGTTGAACCTGTGAAAATATACTCAACTGCAAATTAAATGCACTGATAAATCATTTTTCACCTGACAGTTTATCAAGAAGCAAAAAGATTGACCCTGTCTTTGTGAGGTGTAAGAGAAACAGGGATTCTCATACATTGTGACAGAAGAATTAACTGTTATGAATTTTATGGAAGAGAAGCAATATCTATCATAATTACAAAGATATATGTCCTTTCACCCTGAAATTCCACTTCTAGAAATTTCTTCTCCAGAAATACTTGCACTTGCACCATATTACAAATATACGAAGTATCTTACAATATTGTTTGTAAAAACAAAACATTGAACACTACCTAAAAGTCTATCAATTGCAGACTGGTTATTAAATTATGGCATGCCCATCTTAAAAATCAAGAGCTTTGATTGGACTGATACAGAATAACCTTTAAGAAATATTAACTGAAAAACAAAGTGCAGTATATACATAGTATAGTGCCATTCATGAAATATAAATATATTTATTTAGTGGTAATTGCACATACAAGTGTAGAACATCCCTGGAAGGATAAATGAGAAACTGGTTACACAAGTTGTCCCTGGGGAGGGAAACCGAGTAACTGGGAACAGGAAAACAAGAGAAGACTTTTTACTATAAATGCTTTCATAGTTTTAAATGTTGGTACCATATGAATTTATTATCTCTGAATAAATTAGATACAAAACAAAATTGAAATGAAAAACACTGAAAGGATGAAAACTTTAATTAGCATGTGCTGGTTTAGAGTGTTAGAAATGGATATTGTATTAGTTCTCTATGCTGCATAATGAGTTATCACAAACTTAGCAGTTTAAAACAACACACATTTATCATTTCACAGTTTCCATGGGTCAGAATTCCAGGCACAGCTTAGCTGGGTCATGTGCTCAGAGTCTCTCACGGGTACAATCAATGTATCAGCTGGGCTGCAGTCTCATCTGGAAGTTTGACTGGGGAAGAATTCAAGTCAAGGTTGTTCAGGTTGTTGGCAGAATTCATTTCCATGCAGCTGCATGGCTGAGGGTCCTGACTCTTTGCTGGCTATTGACAGGACATCTCTCTTAGAGTCTAGAGGCTTCTTGCACTTCCCTGCCATGTGGGATTCTTCAGCATGGCTGCTCACTTCATCAAACTCAAAAAGGGCATCCCTCCCTCCATCTGCCAAGATGAAGTCTTACATGACAAAACACAATCACAGAGTGAGGTTTCATCACCTTTGCCACACTCCATTGGTGAGAAGCAAGTTGCAGGTTCCACTCACATTCAAGAACAGGGATTCACCAGGAGGTGGAGATTGTTGGGGAGCACCTCAGAGTCTGTTTGCTGCAGATAAGATTTTTGAGGAAACAACTCTGTGTGCTTACATGTTTTTCTTAATGGATATTTTTTGTGCAATTCCTATATACCGAGGACTATATTTGGCAGTAAAGTGGCAGCAGAAAATAATATAAATAGGCTATATGTGTTCCCAGACTTGTCTCTCTCCCCTCCTGCCTCCCAACTCAAGGTTTTGGAAGCCTTTGCATTCGAAACTAATCCTGCCTGTCCCCTGCTCCTCTGAGGAATCAGGGTGGGGAGGTCCAGTTAAAAAGCTCAAGGCAAGAGCCAACACTGAGAAAAATGCAAAACCTAATGTGTGTTGTGCTGAGGATTGTGAAGGAAAGATATAGACAACCAGTAACACCCATGGGCTGCTGAACTGTTAGTGTTCCCCACCACCACCACCAGCTTCCAGTTGGCTATGGGAGATGCTCATTGTGAAGGTGACAGGCATCTAGGGCCTACTGAGATTGGGGAGGGGAGGGGTCTTCAGACACCCCAAGTTCTTTTTGGCCAATCGTCTCCAAAGCACCATCTTTGTCCTGGGAGCCCTCTCACTACTAGGATCTCCTACCCTGGGTCAGAGTTTTCCCCACACCAAGAAATGAGAGCTTCTTTTGACCGGCACCCTTAGGGGTCCTCCAAGTAAGGCCAATCTGGTTGAATCCACCATGACCTCCTGTCTCCTCTGGCCACACCTGTCATTCCCATGGTCCCCACTCAGAAGATCAATCATGGATTTTCTCCCAGGCCCCTTTGTAATTAAACTTTTGTGACCTAAGTTCCTTGGGTAGCTCTGGGCCTATGCATTTCATACTAGACTTACAAGAGTAACATGTACCTTAATGTGGCCAGGCATGGGGGTTCATGCCTGTAATCCCAGCACTTTGGGAGGCCAAGGCGGGTGGATCACCTGAGGCCAGGAGTTCAAGACCAGCCTGGCCAACATGGTGAAACCCCGTCTCGACTAAAAGTACAAAAGTTAGCTGGGCATGGTGGCAGGTGCCTGTAATCCCAGCTACTCGGGAGGCTGAGGCACAAGAATCACTTGAACTCGGGAGGCATAGGTTGCAGTGAGCCAAGATCATGCCATTTGCACTCCAGCTTGGGGGACAAGAGCGAGACTTCCTCTCAAAAAAAAGAAAAAGAGTAACATGTACCTTAATGTGCCTTAATGTGTTACAAGTGTCATCATCATAGCTACTATGTATTGACTGTTACATGTCTCCCGAGCTATAAGTCCTGCTAGATGAGTGTTGTGAATTCCCGCTTGGTACATGTGTAACTTCAGACCCAGAGAGTTTTGGAATTGCCTGAGGCCACTTGGCTCATGAATGAAGAAGCAGATTCAAACCCAAGCCTGCAGGACTGAAAGTCCCTTTTCTTCGTCTCCATGTGGCTGCTCGTTGCTCAATAACTCCAGGTCATGCAGTCAGCATTTCAGTGCAGCCACCATGAGGTGACTCACGGGGTCTCGGACTCCTTGGGTGGGGCCTCTCACTGCCATGGGAAGACAACCCTTCACTGACTTCCTTCTGGCAACTCTGCAGAGAGGCCTGGGAATGTCCTGTGCTCAAAGCTCAGAGTCCCCTTCTCTACCGTACTTAAGGGACTCTTCAGCAGCTGACCCAGACATTCAGGCCTCCTCTCCTCACCCCGCCATGTAGGAAGAGAAAAACTATTTCTGGGACACCCTTAGGACTCCCCTCTCCTGCCACATAAGGCAGCAGCATCAGACCCAGAGCTGACAGGCCCTCCAAAATCATTTGCTCCACATGTGTCTTTCAGTGCTTAACTACTTCTCCATCATATCCCCCAAGAGATATATCAGCTTCTGCTTGCATTCCTCCAATGATGTGATGGTGAGTTCACTACTGGGCTCAGATAGCCCATGCCAAGCAAACCCGGTCTCCTCCTTAAAGGGCTGAATTTAATGGCCCAGCCAATGAGGGGACCTCTCCTGAAGTTAAGACACTGGAAGGCACTTTCAGGTAGAGGGATTTTTTTAAAAAAACTAATTATGGGAACAAGCCTGCATATCCTGTGTATGTACTCCAGAACCTAAAATAAAATAAAATTGTTAAAAAAACTAATTATGGGGAAAAAAGCATTACAGAATGAGAGGCTAAACACCAAGACAAATCTAATTACCCCCCTGCCCACATGGGTGCCTGTCTTAGTCCATTCTGTGCTGCTATAACAGAATACCTGAGACTGGGTAATTTATAAAGAACAGAAAATTTATCACCCACAGTTCTGGAGTCTGGGAAGCCCCAATCAAGGCATCAGCCTCTAGTGTTCGGTAAGGGCCTTCTTGTTGCATCCTCACATGGCAGGAGGCAGAAGATCAAGTGAAGGAATGCTACCTGGAGCCTTTTTTATAAGGGTCTTCATTCCATTCACAAGGACAGGAACTTTCATTGCCTAATCACTGCTTAATGACCCCAGTTCTTGATACCGTCACATTGACCACTAAGTTTTAACACCTGAATTTTGCGGGGGACACACTCAAGCCACAGCAGTCCCTGCACCCCCAGGACAACGCTCAGTCTCTCCCGTGTGTCATACAAAGACCTTCACCTTCAAAGGGCCCCAACATGATAACCCAGGCCCATTGCCTGCCATGCCCTGCTTCCTACTCACTCTACACTCCCACCAGCCCAACCATGCAGCTGCTTCCTGAAAAAAAGACCCTTTCGCACTCCCCACATTGAGAGATGATGGTTCCCCTTCCCAGACTGCCCCGTCCTCTCCACTCTTCTTCACATGCCCTTATGCATTGTCTGAGCCTCAGTTCAGTCGTCAGCTCTTCTGTGAAGGCTCTGCCAGCCCCCCAGGAGTTAATCCCTTCCTTGCCTCCAGGTCTCTTGCAGTGCTTATAACAACGTAAATAGCTTCCTTGGCCTGAACACCTAATAGGGTACCAGGTCCTATGCTAGCACCTGGGCATGCCTCAGCTCTAGCTTTCATTAAGAACCCTTTGTAGAAGGCATTATTATCCTTAAAAATAAAAGTAGTCAGTGAGAATAGACTTAGAGATACTGCCTAGACCAGGATCACATGGCTGGCAGCGGATCCAGGATTTAAATCCAGGTCTGTCCTCTGTCCTCTTTCCATACCTACAATTCCATTGGGATACTTCCCTCCCACTCTGGGCCAGTGTTTCTTAAACTCTTCTGGACTTTGGCCCTCATTAACAAATACATTGTATATTTCAATCTAGTACTCACCTACACACATAAATTTTCAGAAAACAATATCAACCCCTTCTACTTTCAGTCCCTCTGATCTTCTCTATTTTGTTTCATTTTCTTATATGCTGGTCATGATCCACTAAATTGATTTTGTTATGGGGTGGGGATTCCCAGTTTTAAAATACTGCTGTGGATTGGCAGCTCCTGCATTTACAGGTCTTGGCACACAATAAGTACTCACTCAATCCCCAAGCCTGACTTCTATTGAGCCAGCCCTCTGCCCTGGCCTTGGGAAATAACTGATCCCTGAAAGCCAATAGGCAAGATCCCTGGGGCCTCACAACCTTGGTGCTGAATCCATTTCTCCCAGTGTTAAATTCAGAAAGCAGCAGAAGCTTTCAGAAGAACAGCTGGAGATTTAGTCTGGCTGGGAGAACAGGGCTGGTCAGCAGGTCCAAGGCAGCAGCACCGTATGAGGCTCTCTGGTCCCAAGGGCCTGTGTCAGGGACCTGCCATGGTGGTCGCACAGTCTGGCCTGGGGGCAGAGCAGGAGTGGCAAGGGTCAGAGGCGCAGACTCGGATGCTGTCAGCTTCCTATGCCACCCTCCATGGGCAGTGGCACATGCCAGCCAGGCAGTGACAGGCAGGTAAGTTTCATCAGCCCTGGATTTCGCCTCTGACTAAACAGTGACTGAGCTTACTAGGATGATGGGTTCTAAATTTAGCACCAAACTCTGGGAAACTGGTGCATTTGCCCCCACTGCCTGTGGCAAAGCGGGCTGCGAGGGTGCTGCTTCATTCTTCCCACTCCACCTGGGCTATCCTGTGGCCCGGGAGTCCCGCTGACTCACCCGGGGCTGCCAGGGTGGCAGGAAGCACACCTTACCCACCTCCTCTGAAAAGCTGCTGTTCAGCTGAGGGAAGGGGGTGCAGGTGAAACCTTCAGGGAGCTCTCAGTTTCTAAGGCCTGACAGGTCTGACTGTCAGTATCCCCACTGACTCCATCAGTATCTGCCTCTGCAGCCCTCCTAATGCCTCACCCCACAGCCTGAGCTGAGCCTAGTCCCAACCAGCCCTATGCGGGGCGGGGGGGGCCTCAGGCCTCTGTGCCACTGTGCCTCCGTACTTTGGAGCTGAGGGCAGTCTCCTAGGGTTGGGCAATGATAGCTCCTGCTCTATCATCCAGCCCTAAGAGCTTTTCTTGCAAGAGTGAGTGCTGGGCATATACACAGCTCTTGAATTACAGGTTGCAACTGGGCTCTCTGAATCCTTGGGTCGTCTCCCTTCATCCTCACTAAAACCCTGTGAGATAGGGATTATAATGAACTCATTTCATGTAATGGAAAACTAAGGCTTGCAGAGGTTCACTAACTTGTGGGACATTATACAGCTGCGCCAGTGCAATACCAGACCCCTGCTTTTAATGGCCTCAACTCCACTTGCTTCTATGCCTGGGAACCTGCCCTAAACTTTGTCCTGGAACTTTGCCCAGCTGTTGGTATCACTGACCTCACAGAGCCTGTGAAATAGAGCCTGGGTTAGGATGAGACTCTACAGCTAGAGTTCCTTGCTAGCTGTGTGAGTCTGGGTGTGTTAATTAGCCTCTCTGAGGCTGTTTCCGCATCTGTAAAGGAGGGGTGACTTTGTAATCTGTCCAGTTGGCTAGGCTGAGCTCCATTTTTCAGAATTCACTTCCTTGTGTATTTCTGGCTAGGATGGCTCACAGGAAACCTTCGAGCAACAGCTTTGCAGGACAGAAGTGAAGCTGGTAGCCATTTTGTAGCTCACACAGGTTGTCGCTTACCTGCTGGCCTACCTCTTTGGTGTGGGGCCTGTGACATTTCTACCTTCCCTGAGATCTCCATTCAGCTTCTTCAACCTCTGAGCCAGGTCTGTGTATTCAGCTCCATGACGGGGCACCAGCTTCCCCTAAGGATGCCCAAACTGCCAAGGCTGGAGGTGCAAGAACTGACATGGCTCGCAGGCTGTCCTCATGGTTTCCACCTTCCCCCCTAGTTTGCCTGGGTCTTTCCTAATTTTAAAACTGAAAGTCTTGAATCTCTGGAAACCCCTTCAGTCCTGGAAATACAGGAGAGTTGCTCCCCTTGTTCTAGTTTGTGCTCATCGGGTCCAGCTGGTTCTTGCTCTCTCCTGCTCATTCATCTCCCTTCCCAGCTGCTTTCCCTGTGGAATCCAAGGTTCCGTATTAGATACAATGAACTAGCCTCACAGAGATTGCTTAACCAGCTTCCACATTGTGAAGGTCAAACTTCAATGATAAATCCTGAGAGACAGATAAGATAGAGAGGAGGAGAGACAGAGAGATGGGGGGAGAGAGAGAGGAGAGAATTATCAGGTGGTAACAGTGTTTGCCTCATGAAGCTGTGAACATTAAATGAGATACACACATGCACAGTGCCTGGCATAGAGGTAGCAGTCCAACCATATTAGATGTTATTGTTGTTATGTAGCCTTTGCTACTTAATGAAGGTCACAAATTGCTCAACTGTAAGATGGCAGTAGCAGTAGCTGATCCTCTGATCTGCAGCGCCACAGATTGTAGGTGAAACTAATCTAGGATGATAGCACTTGTCTTTGGCGAAGACGCTAACTGGGAGGGGCATCAGGGAACTTGCTGGGGTGATGGCCAAGTTCTGCCTTGATGGTGGTGGTGGTTACGTGGTATACACATATATGAAGCTTCATTGAGCTATACATGTAAGATGTGCACACTTCACTGCAATATGTTATAACCCAACAAAATGTCAAATTTAAAAATAATGTAGTGGATAAACCAGGAGAACTAATTCCCCTCTGCCATCAATTTGCTGTATGACCTCATGTAACTTCTTTGGATCACAGTTATCACATGCATAAATTGCATAAGCCTTATCAGAGGTCAGGAAACTGACCCACATGATCTCCTTGTCTCCAAATTCTCTGGATTTGTTTCAAAATAAACAGAAGAGAAGAAGTAGCTACAGAGGAGGCCCATGAAGAATTAAGGCACAACCAGTCAACAGGAACTGGGCTGCCCTTTATGGGGTGCCTAGTACTCGCATTTCTAGGCACTGTCCTTTCGACAAAGACAGTTGTCGCTTTATGTCTACACAGGAAACACCTCTATGAAAATGCTTCAGAATGCCAGAGATGCTGTGGACTCACGTTAGATGTAGATACCTGGGCCTGGTAGCAGTCACTGGGGGATGGCAAGGGAAGGTGTATGCCCGAGACCTTGTCACCTGGAGAAAGAAGGATGAAATGCTCGTGCCTATAGACCCACTAAGTGCTGGGCTCAGCACCAGGTGATTCACACACACCAACCCATTTTACCCAACAGTGGCTTAATGTGCAGTCACAAAAAAACAGACATGTGGGAACTTAGATTGTACATTCTTCACTCATTTGCATTTCCTAATTTTTTACTATATTTACACAGCAAAAAAAAAAAAACCCTATAGAAATTAGAAATTGAAAAATATACAACTGTCAAAGAAATTATTTTTCTCTCTGTGGCAAGGGGTGACTACGTTCTGATTTCAGGAATCAGTTGCACATAATCCTAAACAGTCCTAAATTAAGGCAAAGTTAGGCAGTTATTGTACCAGTTGTATCATCCAGGGACTGTGATTGCCCCAATTGCCACGTGTTTGATTTCGACTTTGATTAACTGAAAGCAAGCTCAGTTGGAGGCAGGGAGACTAGTTGAGAGGCTCTGGCAATAGGAAACAGTCAAAGCGCTACTGAACCCTGTTGCTATAGCAACAGCACAGCAAAGCTATTTAGTTGTTAACTCCTGAGAGAAAAAGCAGGACAAAAATTAGTGTAAAGTTATAGCACAATTTGGACTGTAGGTATTTAACCTCCTTCTCCGCAATGCTCCTGTGAGTATATTCAGCATGTTCCCAGCTAGCTGAAGCTGTGCTCTCTCTCTTCTAGGCCAGAAACATATCTGAACCAGCGAAAGTAGAGTTATTTGAGGATGATCCCTAGAACGGAGCTTTCAAATCACACTGTGCAAATGAATCCCCTGGGGACTTTGTTAAAATGGAGAATCTGACTTGCAAGCTCTCAGGTGATGTGGATGCTGCTGATCCACAAACCACACTTGGAGTAGCAAAGCCCTACTCTAGACTGCTAAACTTTTATGAAGGAAGGAACTGGAATAGGCATGTCTTGTTCTCTGCTGTATCCTCCAGGTCTAGCATGGTACATGATACAGAAGTGTGGAGCGGGAGGGCAAGGTTATTCAACAATTCAATAATGAATATCAGATTCATTCACATGCTTATACTGGCCTTTTTAACCAGAAAAGTGATGCATGTCCAAGGTAACATCATGAAACAGCAAGGCTTCCCTCCTCTCTGGGCTTCTGGACACCTTTTGGCAGGTCTTCACTTATTTTATTTTATCCTTTCAGAAATTATTGTTAATATACATCTTTTTTCCTGACACAAATGGCAATATATTACAGGCATTACTCCATGTCTTGTGGCTTTTTTCATAATACCTATACTGGGAATTACTGAGTCTGAATCTTTGTGTCTACCTCAAAGTTTAGATGTTGAAACCTAACCCCCAAGGTGACAGTGTTGATGCAAGGCTTCGGGAGGCGATTGGGTCATGGGGTGGAGCCCTCATGAATGAGACTAGTACCCTTAAAAAAGAGGCCTGAGGGAGCTTATTAACCCTTTCACCTTTCCAGCTGTATGAGGACACAGAGAAAGCACCATCTGTGAGGAACGGTCCCTCAACAGACACTGAACTTGCTGGCCTCTTGATATTGGACTTCCCAGCCTCCGGAACTATGAGCAACAAATTTCTGCTGTTTATTAATTCCCCCATCTCAGATTTTTGTTGTAGCTGTCCAAAGGGACTAAAACAGAGATTGTTCCGTATCTGCGCATATAGATGTACTTTATTCCTTTAAACAGCCATATAGGAGTCTATTCCAAATGCATTTACTCATTCCCCTTTTGCTGGACATTTCCCATTTTACAAGTCTTTTGCTGTTTCAAACTGTGCTACAATACACACCCTTGTATATGTATCTTTGTGCACATGAAAGTAATCTGTTGAATAAGTTCCTAGATGTGAACTCTGAGTCAAAGGGTGTCTGTACTTTTTATGATGCTAGATAATGTTTAATTGCCTACCAAAGAAGTTGCACCAATTTTGCAGTCTCATTAACATTTTATAAGAATGTCTGTTTCCCTGTACTTTAAATTCTATATACTGTCAGCTTTTAACCTAATCAACTTGATAAGTGAAAAAGGAGTCCTTGTTTTCATTTGATCTTATTAAATATGAATGAAATTGGGTATCTTTTCACATGTTTCTACACAATCGTATTAACTAGTAAAGTGTTATTTAGGAACATTATCAATGTTGCATATTGATCTGGGAACCAGAAGCCTGAATTCTCTTACTGTGTTTTTGTTTGTTTGTTCGTTTGTTTGAGACAGTTTCACTCTGTCACTCAGGCTGGAGTGCAGTGGCGAGAGCTCAGCTCACCACTACCTCCACCTCCTGGGCTCAAGTGATTCTTGTGCCTCAGCCACCCAAGTAGCTGGGACTACAGGCATGTGCCACCATGCCTGGCTATTTTTTTTTTTTTTTTTTTTTTTTTGTATTTTTAGTAGAGATG